GTACCTTGCTGCACTCAATGTGATCTATTATACAAAATCCAATTCTTCAAATCCCCAGTTCAAACGAATTAGCTCATCTGCTGAAACAGTGATCTTTTCCAATGTTGGGGTAAAAGTGACAGTGTGAGCTTCTAAAGAGATGGCATGATGGCCTCCAACACAGCAGACTCGAAAGGAAGTGTTCTAGGGTGGTTTTAACTGTATGCAATTTCCACCTTAAATGCTGCTTTAGAACTGAATTCACTTTCAAGGTGTGCGTAGTGCTGAGTACTGGACATAGAAGGCCAGTTGTTATCCTGGTTCACTTACACTTTTAGTGACTCCTTTCTTCCCTGATGACAAATCCAGGTTTTGTTCAGGGCAGCAAGGTAACCAGTCACTTCTGATGAATCACTGTTGGTCTCTAAGGAGACAATTCTCTTCCCATCTCCTGCCCCAGCCTCCCTCTGCAGCAAGGTGGCATGAGGTAGGTCTAGCCAATCAGCTATAAAGGAACGTCTGCTGGAGGACTTCTGGAGAAGCTGTGACTTTCCTGAAAAGGGGAGACAGGACCGATACAGCTTGAGTCACTCCTTTCCTTTCTTTCTGCCTTGAATGCAAGTATGATGACTGCAACAGTGGTACCCATGAGGGAGGATAACAGTGACACCATCCCTGACGTCACTGAGCCAATATTAGCAACTACCCACTACTGAACCTCGTATGTGAAAAACACAAACCTCAGATTCTTCACGTTTCTGTGTTACTTCCTTTTGCTGTGCTGTTCTTAGTCACTCAGTCATGTCTGACTCTCTGCAACTCCACAGACAGTAGCTCACCAGGCTCCTCTGTCCATGGGGATTCTCCAGGCGAGAATACTGCAGTGGGTTGCCATGCCCTCTTCCAGGGGATCTTCCCAACCCAGGGATCAAATCTAGGTCTGCCACATTGCAGGTGGATTCTTTACTTTTGAGTCACCAGGGAAGCCCAAAAATATTGGAGTGGGTAGCCTATCCCTTCTCCAGGGGGATCTTCCTGACCCAGGAATTGAACCAGGGTCTCCTGCATTGCAGGCATTTACCAGCTGAGCTACTGTGGAAGCTCCTATTTCCTTTGACTCATGGTTGAAAACATTCCTTTACCCATACACCTGTTCTGATGGAGCTTACCATTCGGTTGAGCAGATAGTCATTATATATGTAGCACATAGATATATAGAAAGACCTCTAGCTATCTGTCTGTTATAATTATATTCAGTTTGCAAACTCAAAAGAAAGAAAGTGAAGTTGCTCAGTTGTGTCCGACTCTTTGCAACCCATTGACTGTAGCCTACCAGGCTGCTCCATCCATGGGATTTTCCAGGCAAGAGTAACAGAGTGGGTTGCCATTTCCTTCTCCGGGGGATCTTCCTGACCCACGGAGCAAACCCAGATCTCCCGCATTGCAGGCAGACTGTCTGAGCCATACTTACAAACTGAAGTGTGCAAGATATGTCTTTTCATAGTCTTATAACTTAACTTTAATTTTTTATTGAGACCTCCTTTGGCCAGGACTCTTAATTTCATTCATGTAGGTCTCCTCTTTCCCCCTGTGGTTATTTCTAAGACACATGGAGGGAAGGGAGGTCATACCAGGGTTAAAGATGTTGATGGATATGGGCATCTTGTCTCAGCCATCATCTTTCCACAGTAGTTTCTATGGAGAAATATTTATCACATCCGGGCCTCACATTCCTGACCACGGGCTTCTCCTGACCACGGGCTTCTCTGGACTCAGCATTCAGTGTCCTCCAGGGACTTCTTGGGCACAGAGGGACCACCCACAGTTCCCATATGGGGAATACAGGGCCCCAGGGGATGGCGGAGCTGCCTAAATCTCCTACTTCTCCGTCCTATCTGGGGCCGCTCTACCCCAGTAGAGCAATGCAGTGGCCAGTGACCACACGTTTCAGTTCAAATAAGTTGATCCTTTTAATGTGTTGTTTGACTCAGAGTGCCAGCATTCTGAGGCTTTTTGTGTCTGTGTTCATCAGTGATATTGTCCTGATATTGGTTTTGGTATCAGGGTGGTGGTGTCCTCATAGAATGGGTTTGAAAGTGTTCCTTCCTCTGCAATTTAATGAACAGTTTCAGAAGGAGGGGTGTTAACTCTTCTCTAAATGTTTCCTAGGATTTGCCTGTGAAGTCATTTGATCCTGGACTTTTGTTGGGATTTTTAAATCACAGTTTCAATTTCAGTACTTGTGATTGGCCGGCTCATATTTCCCATTTTTTCCTGTTTCAGTCACCTCACATGGGCCAGGATGGCCATCATGAAAACAATCTACAAACAATAAATGCTGGAGAGGGGGTGGAGAGAAGGGAACCCTCTGACAGTGTGGGTGGGAATATAAATGGTACAACCATTATGGAGAATAGTATGGAGGTTCCTTAAGAAAACTTAAAATAGAGTTACCATATAATCTATATCTCACTCCTGGGCATATATCTGGAGAAAAAGGATACATGGAACCCGACATTCATTGCAGGACTGTTTACAATAACCAAGACAAGGAAGCTACCTAAGTGTCATTGACAGATGAATGAATAAGGAAGATGTGGTACATGTGTATAATGGAATACTACTCAGCCATCAAAAACAATGAAATAATGTCATTTGCAGCAACATGAATGGACCTAGACATTGTCATACTGAGTGAAGTTGGATAGAGAAAGCAGATATTGTATGATATCACTTATATGTGGAATTTTCTTTTAAAAAAGATACAATTTATTTTAAAAACAGAAACAGGTTTATAGACTTAGAAAAAGAACTTAGGGTTACTGGGGGGAAGCATCAGGGGAAAGGATAGTTAGGGAGTTTGGAATTGGCATGTACACACTGCTATATTTAAAATAGATAACCAACCAGGACCAACTGGATAGCACAGGGAACTCTGCTCCACATTATGTGATAACCTAAACAGGAGAAGAATTTGAAAAAGAATAGATACACATACATGTATAACTGAATCACTTTGCTGTCCATCTGAAATTAACACAACATTGTTAATCAACTATAGTAAAGCATAAAATCAGAAGTTTAAGAGGTTGACAAATTTAATCAAAGTCTTTTAAAAATCAAGAATTCAGTTCCTCAGTCACACTGGCTACATTTCAAGGGCCCAAAAGCCACACGTGGCTAGTGGCCTTTCATGTTAGAAAGATAAAGAACATCTCCATCACACTGTAGACAAATAGAATCCCATGCTGCTCCCAGGCCCAGCCAGGCCATGGTGAGGCCAAAAGGCCTCGTGATCTTGCCCCGCACCAAGTTTCCAAATGCAGAGTCTGCCCCCTCTCTGGCCCCAGGTCTTGGCTCAGCAGGAAATGGGCACCAGCCTGGTCTAAGAGGCCCACCTAGCCCATCACGCCTCCCCGCTTCTCTCCTCACCCACAAGCTTGCCACCCTGGGCAGTCCCAGCTTGTTTGGAAGGCTGGAGGCCTTGCTATTCCTCCAAACCTATTGCCTTTGCTAGGCCCTTCCAGGAAGGGCCTAAGCTTTACATCTCAATCAAAAAAAGAAAAAAGGAACTTATTTATGAAACAGAAATTGACCAACACATAGCAAACAAATTTCCAGTTACCAAAGGGGAAAGGGAGGGGGAGAGATAAATTAGGAATTTGGAATTAACATATGTACAATACTATGTATAAAACAGACAAACCAGGACTGGGTAGCTATTGTATAGCATAGGGAATTCTACTCAATATTCTGTCATAACTTTTAAGGGAAAGTAATCTGAAAAAGAATAGATAAATATATATGCTGCTACTGCTTAGGTATTTCAATCATTTCCAACTACGTGACCCTATGAACTGTAGTTCTCCAGGCAAGAATACTGGAGTGGGTTGCCATGCCCTTCTCCATTGAGGCAGATTCTTTACCAGTGAACCACCAGGGAAGCCCCTATATGTGAGTGTGAGTGAGTGTGTGTGTGTGTGTGTGTTGTAGCCACGCGTTCCGGGAAACAAACTCACTCAGCAGGACGATGCAGATAGTGGAGTGCAGTTTATTCCGCCGGCGGGCCCCGGGCAGAGTCTCCTCTTAGCCAAGGACCTCGACTATTTTTCGTGAAAACCTTACATATCCTAAGTACGTGTGCCCAAACCCACCTCCCCAAATTCCCTGAAAGTAGTCTGAACAAAGGAAAAGAAGGATACAATCAAGGTTAACCCGTGATTCATATGCCTTCCACCTAGGTAGTTAACAGTGGACATCAACAGGCCTGTGGTCATACCCCAATAAGCATAATAGAACGTATGATTCTATTTGGTTACACAGATAATAGGGTATTCTTTTAGGCTGTGGAGAGTCTAGGTAGGAGACCTGGGGCTCTTCCTTCGGGGGCCTGGTTTTCCAGTTGGTATGTCGTTTCCATAGATACTGGGCATAGAGCTCAAAGCCCACAGTCTGGCCCAAGATGGAGTCCTGCTTTCAAGATGGCGCCTGTTCTGTTTCCTCCTTCACACACACACGTATGTGTATAGTTGAATCACTGTATAGTTGTACACCTGAAACTAACCTGACATTGTCAATCAAGTATACTTCAATTTAAAAAAAAAAGGAAGAAAATAAATAAATAAGTAAATCTCAGAGTCCAAGAGAAGACCGCTTTTTCTTCAGAGGTGCTCTCTCCCTGAGGCAGAAAGCCTACGTGAAGAGTTCCAAATGTTGTCCTCTACATAATCACACAGAGACTACAGAAATACCAATGGGATGAATGCCAGCTCGATGACTCGATGAGAAAATATGACAAGGGGATCTGACCCGGCTTGACGGAGGGGTGCCGAGAAGGCGGTCTGCTCTCCGTTTGAAATGCACGCAGCATGTGACTTCGCTGCACCCCCAGAACCTCAGCTCCCCACCCCCCCACCTGAGCTCATCCCATCGGCTGAGCCCGGAGTCTCCCCACCGGCTCCCAGCTTCCACACAGAAGCCGGGGGATCCTTCTGAACCTAAAGTCAAACCGTGTGGCTCACCTGTGCACCGTCTGCGGGGGCTCTCTGCCTCCCGGGGGCACAGAGCCCCCGCCCGGCCTGCCAGGCCCCCCGTGACCTGTGGCCCTCTCCCCGCCCGCTGGCCCTCCTGCCCGCTCAGCCTGCCCCAGCCCCGGCGGCTCCCAGCTCACCCTTAGTCGAGTGAAGAGCACTCCGGCTTCGTGGGCCTCTGCACCTCCTGCTCACGCCCTCGCTTCCTCTGGTCTCCGCTCAGAGGTCCTTCAGCTGAGAACCCTCCCCTCCCACCAGACCGCAGGGAGAACCCCATCCCTGTCTCGGCTTCTCCCCACTTACTGGGCTCAGGTTTCTTCTTCTTAGCACTTCTGGGCTTCCCTGGTGGCTAAGATGGTAAAGAATCTGCCTGCATTGCAGGAGACGCGGGCTTGATCCCTGGGTCAGGAAGATCCCCTGGAGAAGGCAATGGCACCCCACTCCAGTACTCTTGCCTGGAGAATCCCATGGAGGGAGGAGCCTGGTGGGCTGCAGTCCATGGGGTCGCAAAGAGTCAGACACGACCGAGTGACTTCACTTTCACTTTTCCCTTTCATGCATTGGAGAAGGAAATGGCAACCCACTCCAGTGTTCTTGCCTGGAGAATCCCAGGGGCGGCGGAGCCTGGTGGGCTGCTTTCTATGGGGTCGCACAGAGTTGGACAGGACTGAAGCGACTTAGCAGCAGCAGCAGCTTTACTAATATATTGTTTAAGCACAACTTTCTAAGACACATTTCATAGGCATCCCTGCATTAAGAAACAGAAGATAAGTGTCTACATCAGTATCAGATATCACAGTCATTCTGATAGCAGTGCATTTACATTTTATGAGTAAAATGGTGGCTAAGGGATTCAAATAACTTAAGACACAATATGTTTCACATGAATACATATATTCAAAAAAATTGCCACACCTTGGGCAACCCCTGACTGGAGACGGGTTTTCTTGATATCTGTACCTTTGACCTTCCAGTTAAAAGTGTCTACTCATGCTGACTTCTCAAACTTTGAAAACACATTCATTATCCACAAACACAGACCCTACATTTCTGTATGGTTGGGCATCCCAGGAACAGATTATCTCTGGTAATTCTTGTTACATCTGCCAATTAGATAACCATCAGAATGCTTCCTTTTTCAGATAAAAGATGACTAAGTTGAAAAGGGCATCTGTCTTTCTAAGGGTATACATTCTATCTTTGGGTGATGGAGAGACACTTGAAAACAGTGACAGTTTTTCAATATTATGTTTTCAAGGTTATGAAATACTAAGACTACTTCATGCATAACTTTTTTTCTTTAGTAAGAAGAGCTATATAGTTGACTCTTGAACAGCGTGGGTTTAAAATGCACAGGTCCTCTTATATGTGGATTTTTTCAGTGGTAAATAACTATCATACTACATCATCCACAGTTGGCTGAATCTGAGGATGCAGACCTGTGGATACAGAGGACCCGCTCTTGGAGCGGGCTGACTGTAAGTTATACATGGATTTTCCACTGCACGAGAGTCAGCACCCCTCAAACACCCCCACCCATACGAAGAACACCGGTCCCCCTCCTTCTTAGGCTGGGCCCCTACATTCCTCACCTGGCAGCACTTTGAACATCTAGTTAAGCACTTGTGTTACATAATTACCTGTGTCCATCCTTGCCACCACAATGAGCCCAGAGCCGAGCCAAGCCCAGTGCCTAGCACACAGTAGGGCAACAACACAAACTTGTGGCCTGACTGGCTACCCCACCGGTTACTTTCTGTCTCATTTCACTGACAGCATACTAGTGGGTTCCCTGTCTGTTCGTACTGACATTAGCACAATCCCCTCCTCGCAGACTGTCGACACTCAGCCTCTGCCTCCTGCAGACATCCTGCACATGTCTGGCAGCCCACCCGGCCAAAATCCCATGTCCATCACATTGCTCACTGAAGGAGATTTAGTGCAGCGGTTAAAGGTGACAGGTAGAACAAACTTATGATTACCGAGGGGGAGGGCAGGGAGGGATAAAGGGGAAGCTGGGACTGACGTATACACACTGTGCTGGGCTTAGTCGCTCAGTCGTGTCCGGCTCTTTGCAACCCCGTGGACTGCAGCCCACCAGGCTCCTCTGTCCATGGGGATTCTCCAGGCAAGAATACTGCAGAGGGTTGCCATGCCCTCCTCCAATATACACACTACTATCCATAAAATAGATGACTAGTAAGGACGACTGTATAGCTTAGCTAAGGGGACTCTACTCAACACTCTGCATCTGGGAAAAGAATCTGAAAAAGAGCGGATGTATATGCATGTGTAACTGAGGCACTTTGCTGGACATGTGAAACTAACACAACATTGTACATCAGCTATATTCCAACAAAAGCCATTTGTTTAAAGTGAGAGGTCTGGAATCAGACTACGTGCATTCAAACCCTGGCTTGCACAGTTGTGTGACCCTGGCCGTGTTACCTGACCTTTCTTTATCTTATTTCTCTCATCGTTAGCATAAAGGTAACATTACAGCCTGTGCCATAGAGGGGCTCTCCAGGGGGCACAGTGGTAAAGAACCCACCTGCCAATGCAGGAGACGCAAGAGACCTGGGTTCAGTCCCTGGGTTGGGAAGACCCCCTGGAGAAGGGAATGGCAACCCACTCCCTTACGCTTGCCTGAAAAACTCCATGGACAGAGGAGCCTGGTGGGCTAAGTCCACGGGGTCGCAAAGTGTCAGACATGACTGAGCCACTGAAAATACACACACAAGGTACAGAGTTGCTGTGAAAATTAAGTGAAAAAAGACATAAAGCATTTATGAAAAGGTTTTGACATATACTATCTGTAAATGTCAGAAATTATTAATATTATCAGCATTAAGAATCAAGTCTAAATTCCTGAACTCTATCCAATGCATTCTACCATCTTATCTTAGTGGATACTTTTAATTTTATCTTTTCAGTTCTACCACATCCCCCAACCTCGTGAACCATCTGCTAAGTTCGTCAGGTTCTGTCCACGTAACTTCAGCTATCCTCCTTCTGAGATTTTGGTCATATCTTTCTGTCCCCCTGGAAAGTCCTCTTACTTCTGTTTATATCATTTCCATCCTTCAGAGGACATGATATTTTGCTTCCACGAAGCCTTCTCTGATCTGATTGGGTCCCACTGGTCTTACCTGGAGCCCAAGGAATATGGCCCCAGGTAAGCAAATACTGCCCAGGGACAACTCATTTTTTTTTTTCCTCTCTCTCATACAACTGAACTGAACAAAATCCTCAGTTTATAACATACTACCATCACTGGTCAAAGGAAGAGCCCTTATTCTATCTTATTGAATTTTATTATTTGTTTGTTTTTCTTAAAAAGTTTCTGTTTTATCCTCCATTCCAATCCCAGTATTCACACATCATTATATTGTGCCTCACCTTGCTTCTTGCTTTTCCACCCTATCAATTTCTGTTTAAGAGCTATCCACTTGATATACAGATCTTTCTATTATATCTTTTATTCATTGTAGCATCTGAATAACATTCCACTTTTTTTTTTTTTTTTGCTTAGACTGCATTTTACTGCTCCGTTTTCTCACTGAAAGTCAGTGAAGTTGTTTCAAGTTTTTTGTTGTTATGAAAAATTCTGGGATGAAAATCTTCTAGCTCTCAGTTTGTTTGCTTGTTTATTCCTTTATTCAACCTGTATTCATCAGGTGTCTACGATATACTCCATACTAGTAGGTATACTAGTAGTTCTGGGCATTTGGCGTGAACAAAAATAGACAGATCCTTACCTTCTTTTTGTAGGAAATAATAATAGACAAATAAATAATGCTAGGTTATGAGAAGTGCAAAGAAGAGACTAATTCAGGAAAAAGAGGAATTTGGCAGAGGCGTGAATGAAGTGAGGGAGTAGGCAGTGCTGACATGTGGAGAAGGAGCATTCAGGCAAAAGGAACGGCAAGTGCAAAGGCCCTGAGGTGACCGTGTGCAGGGCTGCTCCGGGGATAGCAGTGGGTACAGCTGACGCAGAAGGATTGAGGGGAGGATCATCAGTGATGAGGTCACCTGGGGAGGCCAGAGTCAAAGCAGATGGAGTCCTAGAGCTGTGGAAAGGACTCCAGCTTCCAGTCTGAGTGAGTGGGGAGGGTTTCGAGGAAAAGCGTAGCAAGATCTCACTGACCTTAGAAAGACGCTCCCTGGGTGGAGAATAGACTGGAGTGGAGTGAGGCTAAGAGGGGGACAGTTAGAAACCCATCACAGGGGTCCTGGAAGGAGACCATGGTGCCCGGGTGGGGTGGTGGGTAAGGGGGAGGGGTGGGGATGCCACAGCACATTTAGAAGGTGGAGCAAATAAGATTTGCAAGTGACCTGGATCTGGGGCATGAGAAGGAGGAAAAGAATCAAGGATGACCCTGAGAGTTCTGACTCGAGTCACCGTTTACTAAGAGGAAGAAGACAGAGGGGAACAGGTTTCAGGGGTAGAGCAATAATCTGGTTTTGAGCACTTTACACCTGACATGCTTATCAGACATCCAAGCAGAGCTGTCAAGTAGGTAGACAGCTTCTGGAGTTTGGGATCAAGGTCTGTGCTGGAGCTAAACTTGGGAAGTCATCCTGGTATGTATGATCTCTAAAGCCAGGATTCCCCAGGAAGTGAGCATAGACTGAAAAGATTAACAGGGCCACAAACACACGGAGTCTGGAAAGGCAATTAGGAACCAGCGAGGGAAAGTGAGAAGGAGCGGCCATGAGTCAGAAGAACCAAGCACGAGGAATCTGTCCCTGGGGCAGTGAAGACGGGGCTCGAGATGCAGGAAACCATCAGTGGGGTCAGAAGACGCTGATGAGCATGGTCAAGAGGAAGGCTGCGAGTTACAGACAACGCTTGGAGAAAATCTGCTCTAAAGGAGAAGATAAAAGTGGAGAAAAGTATAGAGGGGAACGTATGAAAGAGGGAAGTTTTCTTTATTTTTTCCCTCCTTTCTCCTCTCTCTCTCCTTCTCCTCCTCATCTTCCTCTCCTTCTTGTAGGAAGTCCTCCTACAGGACCTGCATGCGGGCTTCGACGGCTTGCTGATGTGAATGACCCAACAGCGAGGGAAAAGCCGATGATGCAAAAGAAAGAGGGGAGGATCCAGGTTCTGGAGGAGGCCAAAGAGATGGGCGGAGTCAGGA